GGCGTTCCTCCCCCCTACCCGGGAAGTAAGCTCTGAGTTCTTATCATCCCCCTGATGAGTTCTCAGTGGAACGAGCACGGATGTGCTTCACCGGTCCCGGCCTTTCCACATTGCAGGGTGGTGTGGCTACCATGCATGCTGGAGGATTCCAGGGCAGCATGCTAAGGAGATCCAGGTCGGACTGACCTGTGGTCCTGGGCAGGATGGGTCACTGTTGTGACCACCCCCCTGGACTGGGGGGGCTACCAACGTAAATGGAGAGCAGCCTCCATGCTGTACATACCAAGAGCTGCACTGCTGCGCAGGGGAAGGAAAAAGGAGCAGACCAACTTGCTGTAACCAAATGACTTTCGAAACTCAAGTTTTGCGGCTTTAGCCGCCGCAAGACCTTCAGGAGCATTTGGCATACTTCGCCTATTGGAAGAATCTTCCCAGTCAAGCTGAAACTGTCCACTTGCATCTTGCGACTCCTCTTCGTAGTGGTGTTGGAGAAGAAAGCTTTCGCCAAGGTCCTTGTTGTCCTTAATCCGAGCACTAGAACAATTTGTTGGGGGTGCCCGCCCCCCCCCTCCCGCTGCCAGAATAAGAAATGGAGGGCGCCAAATTAAAAGAATGACTGAGGCTCCTGGAACTCAATTAGCAAAGAACAGGAATACATTCCTGCGTCATTGGGGCTCTTGGACATCTGTTAATCAAAAAGGAATAGGAATGTATTGAATATCTCTATTATCAGGATTGGTTCTCCAACAATTTCTTTAAATGTAGTCCATTTTCCCCATACGAAAAGCCACCTATTTGTAGCTAGTCTTTGGAGCCTAGTTCTACACCAAAAATCTTTAGATTTGGTCCCTTCTACTGTTCCAGTGCTCGAATTAGCGGCGTCTCGTTTTGTCAAGTACTGGAGAGAATCTGAAGAGTTTCAGTGGCAATGTTGTCCTTCAGCCTCCTGGGCCTTCTGCCTGTATGCACCAAGGAGCGGGGCAGGCGGACCAAGGAAGAAGCTGTTCACACTTTAAATGTTTTTGCGTTGGTGAGGCGTTCAATGGAAAACAATGGAAAACACTGCTCACTTCGCCGTTGGGTGGGCAACAACACTCTAACAATGGCTGTGGGGCGCGCCATGCATGACAAACGCAGGGCCGGATCTGAGGATCTTGCACAGCCATGTTTGCAGTGGGAGGGTTTGGCATAAAGCTCTTAAGTGCCCAGAGTTTCGGATGCTTTGGGGAGTTTGCATCTGTATCTGGGTGCGGCACTCTGGCAGATGTGAGTGTGTGACTGCTGAACAAGACTTCGGGCTGCGAAAGCAGCGTGGCCCAATGGGGCATAGGATTAGCGAAGGCAGGAGAGAGGGTGGACAGAGGTGGAGGCAAGATACATGTCATTTTATCAAGTTGTGCTACGTACCATTTGCATTGTGAGGCCGGCCTTGCGCAAAGTTCAGTTCTTGATTGTTTTGGGATGCCACGCCTAGCCGCGGTATTGGCAGCACAGTGTTATGGTAGGAAGCGAAGAGTCAGCAACGTATTTGGATGTATTTGGCATGTTGAAGGCAACTCCTGGGCCACGAAGACAACAGGTGTGGCGAATCAGAGCTACGTGTGGAAAGCTTACACGTGTTGTCCGAGCCGGAACGGAATTTAAAGTAGCTGCAACCTGTATCATTACCCAGGTCAAGGGCATGCTGTGCTCAGAAGTATCAGATAGGCAAGTTGCTGAACGCGGCGCGGGTTTGGCACCTAGGTTTTTATATACAACTCCAGCTTGGACTTGACTCGCCGGCGACTAATAACAGGTGCACTGATGAGTGTCAGAACAGTTCAGACAATATGCGGCGCCCTCTGATGGTGAAAATACAGCTCACGCCAGGATTGGGGATGATGGCGGCCGCAACCCACCTGCATGCTTACCTGGAGCGGGCATCGTGCATTGTGCAGGCTTGCGGCTAATGCCCTGCCTCTTGAACGTGCTTCTTTGTTGTGCAGTTCTGCTTGGCGGTAAGGACCCAGAGATGGCTGACTTCTTCTTCGTGCCTGCCTACCATGGAGATCAGTGATCCGCAAACACATCATTTCTGACTGCAGATGCTTCATGCTTGTCGAATGCCTTTCAATGCCTGGTCCCTCGAAAGTCAAATATCAAAGGTACAACGAGTTTCTTCAAGTGAGGGCTCACGCAGAGGACTCTGATACGAGGCTGCAGGAAAATCAGCTGAAATGCAGTTGGATGCTTGTTTGACGTAGATTTCCATACCTGGCTCGACGACGCGGGCAAGATCATGTCTTTGTGGTGTCTGTGCTTGCCCCAGAGTGCCTAAGCATGAGCTAATAGTTGTAAGGCTGGAAAGTACATGAGGCCAACCTCCCATCTTGGAAGCACCTTGCACCGCTGCGCAACGCAATCCTCCTGACAGTCGTTTGCTCAGTGCTGAGTGCCGGAGAAGTTCTCTTCGTGGGAGAGAAGAAGCTTTGAAGAGTCGCTGATGCCGGCTGTCCTTGCAAGTCCACCCTTTGGCCTTACAGCTTGTACCAGACGAAGATATGTAGTAATACCGTGGTTTTCAGTGAGAAGAAGACAGGAAGGTGCAGAGTAGGCGTTGACGGACATCAAGCCTCGGTGCTTGTGGCATCGTCTGGCCACATCATGCAAGCTTGACAGTCCACTTTTCCTGAAGGGGCACGTAGGGCACGTATGGGGACGTGCGCTTACAAGGTCGACAATCATCGCGCCATTCTGCATGACAGCATGATGGAGATGCAGGAATGAGCCATTCGTAACGGTGGCGATAGCTCCCTCATTTTCAAGGGAGCACAGGATCTCCATTCGTGTTCGGATCCTCCATGATCTTCCTGATAGAAGGGCACAACAGGGCAAACAGAATCACAGATGCGAGGAGAGCAGCGGGTTCACGGATCGCATGCGCGGATCCAACCATAATTCGAACCCTGGCTGGCAAAGCTGTGTGCGAAATGAAATCATCCTGCGCCCTCATCGTCCACTGGCCACCTGTTGAGCTAGCCGTGTCTTGCCCTGCTGGCCGCCATTCCAGCCGAGACTACAGCCCAAGTGCTTGAGGATGCTGACAGCCTGCGGATCGTATTTTGCCAACCAGGATGCGGCGTGCCAACTGCCAACTCGAAGCCATGCCGTCGAGTTTCGGGGCCCAGGCAGAGCGTTATTGGTATCGCGGATTGCATTGACACGGCGCAGGACGCAATCCACGAAAGAGACCTCACACGCATGTTGTGATAAGAGGTCGCACCATGCGCTGATCAAGATTGCCGGAGAGTCGTGAGAAGAAGTCCGGGTTGAGTTTGGAGGCACCACCTGTGCTTTGCAGCTAGGAAGGCTTCAGGATTCGAGAAGGTGGGTCGTGTGAGATTGCAGCCCTAGAAAAGGAGTTCCGAGTTCTTCAATAATGAAGTCCAAAGTCCACCCTAGGTAGCCGGCGTTGTGTTGACGTGTGTTGATGTTGGTCAGCTTGACAACTGGACAATGAGGTTGAGTCTTGGCAAGTCAATGATGATCTTCCACGGTTTGCTGCTCAGCAACTTTCTGTGGTCATTCAGACGGGCTAGCTGAGACATTCTGAGTGCCATGTGGTCCTGAGAGCTTGCTGCAAGCTTCAAAAACAGGGATTTTCAATGATCACGGCGCTTCCTCGTACCAGTAGCATCAGGTTTGCAAGCATTTGTTTGTTGATCATGCCTGGCGACTATGACGCAGAGCTGAGCTGGCATGGAAGTTTCCGCTGCGTGCAATGATCTGTGCCAGATATCCATCTGCAACTGTTTAGTGCCCTGTTTGGAGTGAACTTCAGAAGCTGCGCACAAGAGCGCTGTTAATACTCTTGGCGGAAGGGAGAAATGTATCCGCAGCTCACCGGCTGGCACATTTTTCAAATGCTCTGGCGAATCCTTCCCCTCAAGAAGCTGTAGATTGAGCTTCGTGTTATTTTTGCCGACTTTCTTGCCAAAAGCTACCTGGGACTGCTGTTCTTTTCCTTGAATTTGGCAGCTTTTGGCCTTGCTTTCCCTCCACCTTGTTTCTACTGCACAGTACAGGTGGTACTCGCCTTGGAAGGACATCATGATACCGGGATACATCGATCGCAGTTGCCTCAGTCGCATATACTAGCTTCAGCAATGCAATTTTGATTGGGCATGAAGCGTCTGCTATTTTACATTGCTGGTTTGCTCGACAGGACAGGATCTTTGGTTTAGAGTGCTTTCGTTGCCACTGTCTGGAAGCATCCTTCGGCCGACTACTTGCTTCAGGATGGCGGATTGATGCTATGCGAATGGTCAACAAGCCAACGCATGAGCGTGGTTTTCTGCATCCCGGCTGATGTCTTTTGCTGTTGGTGACTGGCTGAATCTTGCAAAGCTCAGGCTGGTGTTCCATGGAAACCACCCAGGCAATCACGGTCTTTACGTCACGCACAAGGCCCAGGCGCTACGTGCTGTGCCTGACTCTGGCCTGTTCTTTTTCTGATGCGGCAGCAGGATTTTCGGAACAAATGAAGTCGTATGCGTGGTAAAGGCACTATGCGATTGGCTGTGCAGGGCAGATGCAGCCTTTCGTGCAAGCCTGCAAATTTGCAGGGCACGTCGTTGTAAGAGCGTGGGTGGGCAAACGCATCGTGCAACCAGCGAGAAGATTGGAATGATCAAGAAGGGCTGGGCCTCCAATCAACGGGGATCACTCAAAGAATGTGTCTTCCAAACTTGAGCAGCGCACTCTGAATCGTGTTCCTGCGATTCATGAGGTGCCAACATTTTTGCAATGCCGCGATGCTTTGTCGGCTCTGACGCTCTAGCGGACGTACTGCCGCCAGCTATTGGATAACGTAGTAGGCAGCCATTGTGCTTGCTGCCTTCGATGGACAGCTAGGCCGGAAGCTCAGGAACATGTTGTGACGTGTCGTGATGTGTCGTGTATGTAAGCTTCACACAGATGGCCACGCATGGCCAGGTTCGAGACAAGCCGAATTGCCTGAGATGGCATACGCTGTCCTGAGCGTTCTTTTCTTGGCGTTGGGGCCCTTGGCTGGACCCTCAGCATGTGCTGCATTTGTATCTGCTCAACATGTTACACATTGGGATGAGATTTGGGTAAGGCTTTGGTATGAAGTCACACACGTTTGCCTTTGTGAGGCGCTGGCCGCCGCTCCTCAGAAGGAACTGACTGTTGATAGGTGCTGATGGAAGTGCCAGAACTGCGGTTTATTTTGGCCGCAGGCTCGCACAAGCCTGCGGCAAGTGGCACATGAGGCCTGATGCCCCTGGAAATCAGGTCTGTTACTTGTGGCAGGCTGCCACGCTTAAGCCGTGCCATGCAGGCGCACTCGGTTGCCAATCCTGGCGCCCTCGGCCCTCCAAGGAAAAGTCGAAGCCTGTTCAGTTTCTTTTGCTAAGAGACCCTGAGAGGCTTTTTGGACGCAGCTTCCATGATGCCCCGGTTGGCAATGGGGATTGGGTGCTCCCGGCGTGGATATGCCTTGAGGAAAAGTGCCCTCGCAACATGTCAAGGTGAATCATAAGCAGAAGATCTTTGTAATCGGCGACATGGATCCAACTGCACCTTACCCAAAGAGCCAGCGTTGCATTTGTATTCTGCATGATTTCACGTGTTGACAGCAAGGCGCCGATGGATCGCCTGGACGGGGAAGCGCAACATGCGTCAGTCACTGGCGCAAAGCCTGGGCCCTCCGGCAGACCTTTCAGTGGAAGTGCCATGCTCATGTCTTTTTGGAGGCCAGCTGCGCCTGCTGGCGAGAGGCTGCCGCTGCTTGAAGACGGCACTCCGCCCATGGCGCCTGATCCCTCGCAGCAGTTGAAGTGATAGTAAATAGTAGTAGTAGCGTGCTGTATGGACTCGCAGCAAGATCCAGCAAGCAGTGCGAGCAGCGGTATCACTGCAAGGACTGGATGCCATCTAAGAAGATCAGGCGCAGCATCTAAGAGAGCGCAAGCCTTCCGTCTATCGTACCTGTGCAAATTCAGGCAGAGAACTTTTCCGCAGCAGCCGCCGAGAGGCTCCAGCTTATCAATCTTCACCTTGCTTGAGAATATTCACAGTGTGTTGACCGCCATGCAAGAGGCAACAGCGGTGTCGGTCTTTCCGGCTGTTTTTGCTCATCTGCCTACTCTCGTTCACCATGTGAATTCGAAGGGGCACTTGATTTGCGCAGGCGAGGGCGGTGGGCTGGATAATCCGGCTGGTGCATCGCCACTGATCAACATGGTACGCATCTCATGTGGATCTTTTCCCCGAACGAAGGGCCTCAGTTTCAAAGTTGAGAGTCTGTGGGGTTGGTGGGCTGGAAGTTTGGCTGGAATCTCTTGACGATGTTTTGAGGGAGCCCTTGAAAAAGTGGCAGCTCACGCGTCCTAATCAGTCGAAACCAAGCTTACTAGATCCTCGTAACTTGGTCATGTGTTAACAGTAGCAACAACAGGGATTGAGGGGTCAGGGTCGTAGCTGTTATCGTTTGACCCTCGGGTCGGGCTTGGCTTGTCGCGCTGAGAGGAGGTTTTGAGACGAGGTCGCAAGAAGATGTTGAGATGGGGGTCCTGGAGCAGAGGTCGGGAGACAATCCTGGATGAGGTCAGTGTAGAGGTCCCAAAGAGAAGATGTTGAAGAAGTCACGAGAGGAAGTCCTGCAAGAGGTCGGGTCACATGAGGAGATTGCTATACTGAGCGAATGTGAACGAACACATTTGGGTTGGTGTCTCCTATCAGGTTTGATTTCTTCCTCTTCTTGAAAATTGAGGATGACATGTTCTCATCACGGTCGACCCAGGAAAAGCGTCGCCTCATAGGCAAGCCTGATCGCCTCCGGCCGAAGATTGGCCCTCCAGCTACTCATATGCAGACAATTTGGGCGCATGCTGTCGCGATTCTCAATTTGTTGCAGGTTAAAGTTGTGCATCCAGAGCTCGAAAGTGTTTGGCACGCGTTTTCAAGGTTGTCGGCAGCCTGAAGCGTGAACTGTTTGACGATCCAGCGTCAAATTATCCTTTGATGGCCCCAAAGGACAGATTACAAGCTCAACGTTCTGGATGTTGAGAGTGCTGTTGCTTTGCGAAGGATCGGCTGGCCAGCGGAGAGGTCGAGGTTCAATTTGCTGCTGCAAGCAAGCTATGCAAGCTCATGTTCATCACGGACTCTTTGTGTTGCCCTTGCCGTAGGCGGTGGCAACAGTTGATCGAGTTCCTGCATATCTGTCAAGGCAAGCGGCATGAATCCCCCGAAGACAATGGGGAATGAGGTGGCTTTCGAGTGCAGATTTTCCGTTGTGCAGCACTGTTCGACAGGTATTTGGAGCAACGCGTGGCTTATCTACAGTTCTACCGTTCTACCTGTTTCTACCACCCTCAGTGTTTGGGAGTTCAGTCTTCTCTGATTTGATCACGGTGGCGACATGTCGGATAACTTCTTCCCAAGCCATGCTAGAGTTCTTCCTTGGTGTGCTTGCAGACGCGCAGGCTTGCTCAAGGTTCTGAAGGTTTTAGATCCTACGAGGCGTTTATACGGAACCTGGATCTTCCTGCAGATATTTAAGAAGACTTCTATTCAAAACGTTCCGTGCCTTTCGAGTCCTCATCACCTTCACCGTAACCATCAGAACAATAATAATAAACAACAATCATGATCATGAGTCATCCTGGTCATCGTCGTCACCATCACCAGCAGAACAAGAACAACAATAAGACCAACCATCATCCCCATCATCATCGCCATTGTCGTCGGCATCATCATCATCATCATCACCATCATCACCATTATCATTGCCATCACTATCAGCACCGCCATCATCATTGTCATCTTCATCGTCGCTTTTGTTGTCGTGCTTTACATGGACAGCAGAGAAGACATCGCCCACCTGTCAACGTGGATTGGATGACGTCCACGGCGTAGGTAGAATCCTTCCCAGGTGAACTTGGACCAGCGACGGCTTGCGCAGAAACGCTTGGAGGAGGAGCCAAGTCCTACGTCCTGCATTATGCTGCAAAAGACATGGAACACGATGCCTTGCGATGCCGTGATACCAGGAGTGGGAGCGTGCGGATGTCAACAAAGATGGTGTCGTGTCCAATGAGGAGTTCAGCCTTGAACTTCACGACAGGCGGGACGCTGCACATAATTAGATCAATCTCCTTGTCTACTATTTGGTACGACTGGCACTCTTTGTACACCTCAGCGAGGCAACGGTAAGCTGGGGACAGCATTTTTGAAAAAGCTTGGGAAACAGTAAAACTCAGTGGCTACTCAGTGGCTTTCGGGTTCCCGCTCGAGGAAGTGTGTGCTGGACTCCAAAGCAAGTGCTTGTCAGGATTGTGCACATGATAGTTTGCAGTAGGCATCATTAGGCACTTCTTGGCTCAGCTGTCTCTGAAGGCAAGGCAAGTCTGCAGACGAAATTGAGCGCCTTTGGCAACGCTACCATCAGTCGACCCTCAGTTCCTTCCACGTGCCAGTCCGTACTGGTAAAAAGCAGAGACCAGGTCAGAAGACGAGTTCATGACCAAATCGGAGTTTCTGCGACTGGCACGAACAGGCCATGCAATTGCCAAATTTCAGATTGTCCTGTCAAATATGACTTGTACAAGTTTGCGACATGAGATTGAGGTTATGACCTCGGCACCATCTCCAGAAACGATGTTTCAACCATGATGACTCCAGAGAACATGAAAGGCTCTGTTGCTCAGACGTCGCAGTTCCTGCATTTTCTGGATGAACGGCTTCGCAGGCCTTGGCTACTGGGGTTCCGGAGCAACATGCCCCGCAGGAGCATACGCTTCGCTCTTATGCCACTCCCTTGCTGCATTCGCTGTCATACGAACACCTGACTACACAGACAAGGTGACAGGCGTTCAAATCAAGAAGATGAAGGAGACGGCTGGCTGGTGTAATGCCTTGCATGTTGAAAGATATCGACATGTTGAAGGCGCTTCCGTCTCCTTCGGTCGATGACAGCGGAGTCAACGCGTTGAAATTCCAATGCAGTGATGGCACCAAGGCCCTTCAGCAGAAGCATACGTTCGCGCGGCTTACTGTAAAATCTCGTCAGTCAGCAGAAAATGACGAGAAGATTTGAAGATTGATGGCCCAGGGGGTTCCTGGCCTGTCCGCTGAAGGTTCAGACTGCAGAGGGTCCCGATGGAGAGTGGTCCAACTGGACCCAGTGCCCCACAGGTGGCACATTTTGTTGCCCACGCTGTTTCTCTATTCTCTCTTGTGCTGTGTATTCTTGTTCCCTCTGCCTGTTTCCTTTTAGGATACAGTTCTTCTCGTTGTCCGTGTTTGCAGGTCAAGCAGTTTACAGCTTCCGGTCCCAGGGCCGTCCGCCCAGGTGCGATGGCCAAGTAAACGGTCACATGAGCTTTGTTCTTTGATTTGGGGGGAGGAACGGCCTGGACAATGCCGGCATCGCCGGATTGGAGTTTAGCTGCCGACCCTTGAGCTAGATTTTTGGCAGTGAGACAGAAGCTATCTAGTCAAGTTTTTGTTGTGAATACTGTCGCTCACGTGCTTAAAGGAGCTTATGACCTCAGCGCAGTCTCCAAGCTCAGCCTTGCCAACGCCGAGGCTGGGCCAGTTGCCGCGTGATGTTTTTGAAGTGGGTCTGCAAGAACTGCCTACACAGTTGCTAGATGCATTTTGTGTTCAGATTTGTCCTTTCGCTGCCTCACTTTTGGCTTTTCATGACGGGGTTTGGCGGCTGAATCTAGAGGTCAAAGCTGATCTGACATATCTGACGCTCCTTACATTCGTTTGCGGTGCAGGCTGCTTGGTCCGAAGAACTTCGATGCCCACCTGGGGAGACGGTCTGTGGAGCCCAGGCAAACTTGGTACAGGCACTCACGCTCTCGTGCATGCATGTGAGCATGATGCACTATGCCTTCGAGCAGCTCTTGAAGCAGGGCAGTGCTGCACTGCTTCTTCAGTTGCATACCAAAGCCAAGCGGTGTTGCATGTTGATGCAGGATGCATCTGACAACATGGGAGTGGCAGACCTGCGGATGTATTGCATCTCGCATTTCAACAGGTGCACAGCTGCCTTCTCAAGTGCCATTATGGCTTTGCGAGGTTGCCATTCGCCCGTGGACTGTTCTCAGATCTGCTCCAATGCGCAGACGGGCATCAAACTGGTCAAGCCATGAGCTTATACTTCTCGAATGCAAAATCCTGAAGCAAGTTTGTTGTCCAGGTGCAGGGCTTGCAGAAAGGCTGCTGAAAACGCAGGATGACGGCAAAAGCTCTGAGAACAGATCGCAGGAGAAAAAGTGTGAAAGAGAAGGTCTTTTGTCCGCTTCTTGGTCTGCTCACTGCCAAGCTGAGGGGCTCATATCGGCCACCGGCTGATATTTCTGGGAACCGGCTCAGTGCTTTTTCAGGGGTTCGATCCCTTAACTTCCGGCCAACGTCATCCAGACTGCTCAGTTTTTGTGATTTTGTTGGCCGCCAGCCTAGATCACATCAAGTTTTTCAGCGAAGAACGTGTAAAACGTCACTCTTTCGTTGCACTCTGCGTATGCACCGCGCGCCATACTCCAAGATCTTTAGAAGCCAGACCTGCTCTTAAAGGATTGGCCCTCCCCAATCGACCATGTTAAGCGTTGCGGCCAAACAAACAGCATATGCCTGCGAAGGAACTGAGGGTTTGCAACGCAGAGCGGCACAGGGGAGAGTTAGAGAGGGTTCCTCATGTTGCCATGTGTTGCCGTCTCTCAGATAGCTTGCCTGTGGGATGCCAGGGTTTCCGAGTCCAAGAAGCAGTTTCAAAATGGATTCAAGTCGTTCAGCACATTAGCCCATGCGACGGGACTAGGAAGGTTTCTATTACGCTGACATCAGGAGGCGGAAGGATCACTCACAGATCATTCCAGTTGTTTTGGATGCCTCTTGGCCCAGAGGCCTCGGCGAGTCAAATGCATCATGATGAGTATATTTGCCTCCTGTGCAGGTGCGTACCCGGATCCTTGAGACTTTTGCAGGGATTCCGGACTGCAGTGTAGGAGGTCCCGTGCCGGACTTCTTCCAGCGCAGCTGGGCTGCATCTGCACAACAAGTACTTCCTGGAAACTGTTTGAAGCTGGTTGAAGCGAAGGAATGGGTCGAACACACTTCTGCTTGGTTCCACGTGGCTCCTCTGACCCGGACTTAGACGTACAAAGTAGCATGATGTAGCATGCAGCAGTTTGAACGAGAACAGCGGCTCTGAACTATTGAGGCATGGACCATTCACCTCTACGAGAGCTTCTTCTTCGGTTGTGCCTCCCTCATCAGCTGTGCAGCTGTGCACTTGTCAGTTCTTGTGTGTTTAACGCTGTTTGAGGCGAATAGTCGAACTTTCATGGGTGAAATACCAGGCATCCCAGTAATCCTCTCAGACTTCTTGGATGTGCCCTTCCAGAACGTCGTAGACTGGCCAGCTCTGACCTCAAACTCCCAGAGAGAGAGTCTGGGGGTGTACGCCCGGGGAGTAGTAGTACTCCCTCTAGCCCGCAAAGAAAGAAAGAGCTACTGGGAGCTGGATCTTCTGAGGCTCTCAGCATCAAGTGGCCCGAGGACCAGGTTGGCCCCGAGCTTCTGAGGTACCTGCGAAGCATTCCGCTGGAGCGCATCGCTGCCATGAAGCGGCGACTCGAGGAGGCAGCATGCTTCTTCGACTTCCACCGTGGCTGGGGCCGTAGGAGCAAAGCTGGACACCACGCGGATGCGGACGCGGATGCGGACAGCGAGTGGATTGAATGGGCCGCAGACCAGGTGGCGCTTGGGGCGGACTGTGAATATGTCCAGCATGGGGATGGACGGTCGCCACGAAGCTGTCGAAGCAGCTGCACACAGCAGCCGCGCTGCAACTCTGTAAACTTTCACCCTGGCAGTGGCTCAGCAGATTCAGGGGACTGCGTGTTGAGGAGCTGTAGAGACCCAGCACAGCCTGCACTTACAGGAGGTGCTGACGGCTGGCAAGTCTGGTCGATGGTCAATCAAACGCAACTGCAATGTTCACCCTACTATGCAATCTTCAGTCAGCTCCAGAACCGGAGGAAGAATTTGCCCTTACAGCATGGGTCGCGGCCTCACCTGCGAGCCGCTTTCAACTTTGGAGCCTTGCGCACTTGTTGTTTTTGGTCATGTGTTGTATCGTGCGATTTCGTGATGGCTGAGGCCTTTCTGGCATCAGTGACGCGATGTTGGAAAGCAGCGGCCTGTCCTGCTCAGTCCGGAAATGTTCGAAAGAAGATGGTGCGGCCGGCGGCTGGCCACGTGGTCCGTGATGTTCTGCCGCTGCTCCACGACTCGGACATTTGCAGTGCCAATGCTGACAGACTGAGTATGACGAAGCAGCCGAAGTTATGGAACAGTCAGCTTGCCGAAGTGGTTTACAAGCAGCTCAGCCTACCTGCCTGATGGTGAAGAGAAGGAAACAGGATGCCAATTGTATCCTGTTGGCATGGAGCGCAAGTTTGTGCATGATGCTACTTGTAGATGTCGGCGGCTTCCAGAACCGGAGTTCTGCGACCTTCAGGAGTGGCAATCCGCATGCTGACGGAGTGACCTGGTCGCCACGATAGCTTGAAAGTAGATCAGCAGGCAAGTCCAGGAGGTCTACCATAGTCTACTTGCCAAGGATGCTGGCACATGATTCAAAACAAGTGAAGCAGCAGTTGCTTCCATCACGCATGCGCTGCTCTCTTGATCCCCGTTGGGGGCTTGATGCAGGCAGACAGTCAGGCCAAGCCAGACCCGCCAAGCACTTAGTGGCTTTAGAGAAAGGCCTGGACAGCCCTGCAGAACAGTAGTTTCACAATGGTTGATGACTGATGTGCATGGCACACATCCCTCGCCCAGGTACTTGATGGCTGACGCCGCGTGCCTCTCGTATGATCTCTTTGTTGCATACGTGCGACCAGGAAGAGTGATGCCTGTACGAAGGTACATTCAGAAAGACACAAGATGGCGAAACAAGCAGCGAACGCTTGTGTTCTGCAGCCGGGGAGTTACTGCGAGGCCCACTATGATTCCCCACGTTCACTGTGGGGTTCTAATTGTTTAGACTCACCGTCGCCCGCCGACATCCGCGTGCTCTTCCGTCGCGCAAACATTTCGGACGCACTCTTGTTCGCTTAAAAATCTCGCTCTCGCTCGAGACATCCTCAAAGCATCGGCGTATTGTATCGATCTTTGATCAAAACAATTGGAGACATCGCCTTTTAAGTGCTCTTGGTAGAGGGGTCCGGACGCGAACCTGTCGCGCCCCGATTTTTGAAACTTGCGCTCCCGTGCGGCACATCCTCGAACTTCCAGATTTTGCGTTTTCAAAAATTGCGCTCCCGCGTGAGACAATTCGAAATTTTCGACGTTTTGATCATATTAGTATCTTCAAAAATTGCGCTGCCGCTCGAGACGTCTTCGAAATTTTGTTAATTCATCTTCATCAAAATCGATCAAAATTACCCTCCCGTGCGAAGCATTCGGAAAGTTTTGATCATTTATCTTCAAAAATCGCGCTCTCGCTCGAGACATCCTCGAAATTTCGTCGACTTATTATCTTTAGCAAAATCGATCAAAATGACGCTCCCGTGCGGAGCATTCGGGAAAAAATGCTCATTTATGAACGATGATGTTGAGGGTTTCTATACCAATCCTATACTGAACGAACGTCGTTCGAGGTGGCAAGAGGCAGGTATTTGGCAGAGCTTTCAGGTATAGGACTGGTATAGGATTCGTCGGCATCGTCGTTCAAAAATTGATCGTTTACGCGATGGATCCTATACCAATTCTATACCAAAAATGCTCCGNNACCAAAATGCTCCGCTCAAGGTCGTCTTGTTTTGAAGAAAATCGCGCTCCCGTGCGGAGCATCTTCAACATTTTGAAGAAAATTGCGCTCCCGTGCGAAGCGTCCTGAAAATTCGGACGAAAATCGCGCTCCCGTGCGGAGCATCCTGAATTTGAATAAAATCGCGCTCCCGTGCGCAGGAGCATCCTGAAAAAATTCGTTGATTGTTCTTTTAAAAATTGCGCTCCCGTGCGGAGCGTCCTGAAAAAATCGTCGACTATTCATCAAAAATGGCGCTCCCGCGGAGCATCCTGAAAACTTTGAAGCAAACTGTCCTCCTGTGCGGAGCATCCTCAACATTTCATTGATTTTCAGAAAAAGATAAACGGGTAAATCTGCACTATAAGCTTAGTCTTGTTCAGGTGCTCCGCCTGCTTCAGAGGCCATGCAGCCCGCAGGTGGAGGCCCAATATCTCTAGGACACTTTCCATGCATGACATGTACAGTGCGGCATGTGCACCTGATAGGAATCAAGGTAGAGCATGCCAGGAATCCTGGTTACCAGGTATAACCAGCTTGAAAACCAAGGTTGAATGTGTAACTATCTTTGATTCAAGACGTGGCAGCGCCGTCCTAAGATGAAAAGGATATGTGCGCGTTGTGCATTTGATCTGCCATTCAGTTGGTTATCAGCCGTAGCCTCTGCCACTGGCAAGCTACGTGCTTCTTTGGTTCTTTCCTTTTAGTGGTCGTCCGACTTTGGCTCCCATTTCTTTGGCCTGCCTTTAACTGGACAGCTATTTTGGAGACAGCCTTCCGGCATTTATCTTGATTGTTGCTCCCATGTATTGGCTTGTACTTTGGAAGTGGCAGCGACTTATATCTTGATACGGACCCAGTTTTCTTTGCCAACGCCAAAATTACTTCACATTGTCCTCCGGAGGTTCACGATCTGGTTTGGGAATCTTTGAGGGAGGCAAGGGTAAGTAAATGAGGCAGTCAGCGTGGCATACAGCAACTGCAGGCCTGGAGCAGGGACGCGCAGAAGAAAACAAGCGAAGGCCGATTGTCGTGTAGAGAATTTTTTGGAGAGCGAGCTTGGACTTGGTTCCGATCGTGCAGCCCAAATCTTGACTACGCATAATCTTCTTGAAGTCTCTGCTACACCCGCGCCCATTGCTACCTTGCCTGAAGACGAAGCGGTAGAGGAGGTTCCGATTACCTCTGCCCCTATTGCTCACGAGGATACCCCTTTGGAGATTTCAGATTCGCCAGAGGAGATGGCAGCAGAGGAGCCGTCGTTTTCTTCCCTTATTGCTCCGCGACCTAAGGCTCGACCTTCGACGCGTCAATCTCAGCTTGATCGATCAAGGAGTCTGCCAAGAAACTCGTCAGTGCGACGCATTGCAGTGCCACCTCAGCCCCGTAGGCCAATTTTTGTAGAGGTACCGTGCGGACTCTCTTGATTCAACAGGTTGCACTCCGAAGCTAGGACGGCCGCAAGGCAGACTCATTGCTTGTGACTTCAACTGGGTCTTGAACGCGCGCAATCATCGAAGGATCGACGGCGGGAGCCCAATTCGTCAGGCCAACACTGATATTCTTGAGACGGCAGCTCGCGAGCATCCAGCCGACAGCTTGATTATTTTGTCCAAGGTTTCGTCGCCGCGTCTCATTGGAAATCTTTTGGATAGCCTGAGAAACTCTCCGAGATTGCGCTCTATGCTTCTTTACGTGGTTACCTGCCCAGAGCAGTGCGGGCCGACTGGTAAGGTTGCATTTTGCAGTGCGCTCTCCGGATCTGCAAGTGATTGGCTACTCATCGACGACGCGGTGAACATTGTCTCTGAAGCTCGCGATTGCGGTGCGAAAGCGCTTCATATTTGGGTGAGGGGACGGGGATACGCGCCGGAAGGCATCCCTTGGCGCACTGGTCTGTCGGAGTGTGGGTCGGCCATCTCAGAGCTGAGAAATCAAAAGTATTGAAGCCCTGGATTCAAGTCAAGATGTCGGATTTTGAGGCACGTAGCAGATCGAGCATGGGTGGGGCTACATTGGATAATAGTTCCTCCGGAGGCTCCATGTCAGGTCCTTTGGTTCCTGCGTCAGCCGTGAGGTTGGGCCCTGAATCCATGCAAATCTCGCCCCAGCAACTTAGCAGCTTCTTAGATTCTCCGAGCACTGCCGCAGCCAGTTCCCCACAAGCCCAAACCATGTCCCGTGTAAATGAGGCCTCGCTGCCCCAAAGTTCAAGGTCAGCTTCGGGTTCAGGATTTGTGGGCCAAGATGGTTCCAAAACATTTGTGATCAACCAAGCCGCCTTGCGCCATATCCAAGTCCTAAACATGACTACTGATCCTATGCTATTTTCAGAGGCCCTAGCTGCCCGTAGAGAAAACGCGACTGTAACGGCGCGAGCCCATCAAGCCCTTGAACAGGCCAGGCAGGAAGTCCTTCAAACACAGGACCATGCAAAGGGTTTAGTTCAACAAGCTTCCCAGGAGGTAGGGCAAATTAAAGGCCAAGCCGAAAGCATCGTAGGTCAGGCAGTTCAAGAGGTCGCCCAAGCCAGAGGCCAAGCAGCCCATGAGGTAGCACAAGCCAGAGGCCAAGCAGCCCAAGAAGTTGAATAGGCGCGAGGCCAAGCAGCCCATGAGGTAGCGCAAGCCAGGCAGCAAGCGCAAGAAGCCATAAGGCAAAGGGATCAGCGCCAAAGGTAGGTAATAACACAGGCCCATGAGGAACTCCAAAAGATCCAGGCAGCAGCGGACCTCAGGATTCATTAAATGGAGCAAGCCTTCTTCGAAGCTAAGCAAGAGCTAGAAAGGAAGAATGCGGAACTCGAAGGCTAAAGGAGAATCATAGAAGCCCTTAAGTTCGAGACAGATAATGGTACGGACCCCGCTCAGACCACCATCCTTAGCGAACAACGGTCTGGGCAAGCAACAGGTTCCTCTCCCAAGCAACCCACAAATGATTTCGAGGATAGATCAACAAGGTCTCCTTCAGAGCATTTTGTTCAGGGTACGGGTGTGGGGTCGCAGTTTCCGAAGTTGCAAATTCCAATCATTCCCGAAGAACATGCAATCCCTATCTTTACCCCGCCTGGTCCGTTCGAATTCCCAAGTGCAACTCCAGCTGCAGACCTTGACCCAACAAGTTTGAAACTCTAAGCTCAGCGTTGCAAAAGCTCGCTGCAACAGGTGGGAGCGGAGGCCTCGCTGCCCTGCCTCCCGCCGGTGCGTGATCCAGCAAAGCTCAGGGTGCTGTCAGAAATCAAAGAATCAAAGGGTAGTGGGTCGTTGGATTTGTTTGGTGGGGATCCAGGGTCGTCAGGCTCCAGCAGTAGCAGTGATTCCGGGGATCAAGGGGGTAGAGGTAGAAAGGACATTGGTGAAGGGATA